TATATATATATATATATATATATAACGAGGCTAACTTATGTAATATTCTTAGTCTTTCTCATGGCAGTTTATCAAACACTTATCTGGTAAGCGCTTATCGGTATAATTTAACACTATAATTTACTTACCGGGTAAGATTTTAATCCACCAAAACAATATCGTATACAACAATTTACCCAGTAAGCGCTTACCATGGTAAGAGTCGTCGTCCTCACTTACCGGATAAGACTCTTGGTACTTATCTCGTTTTAACCGGGTAAGATTTTTGGTTCATAACATATTCATCCGATAAGATAATGTGACTTGATGTTCACTTACCCGAGTAAACATTTGGTAAACGACCCCTTAGACTACTTTTAAATTATATAAAAAATTTAGTTTTTTATATTCTTTTTGATTATATAATTTTTTTTATCAATATTAGATTATTTTTAATTACGTAATATGTAATTAAATTTTTTATTTGTTTGGATTACAATCACGTTAACATTGATTTTATAATAAATTTTTATTTTATAATTATTGGTTATAGACGTAAAATGTGTTAGAAAAAATGGTGGTTGTCCTCTTAATAAATCTCTTAGGCTCCTTTTACTTTTAATTTTGGTATCGAGTTTCGTATTTTGTCTTTTTCATGGGTAATTTTATTTGTCTTTCCTTTTGTGTAGTTGTCATTACGATACAAAATGATTGTGAGTTGTTTCACATCGAGTAGTTAAATTAAAACGTACAAATCATTTTCTAAATGATTTGCTTAAAATATTGTTTAAGTCAACCATTAATATTTTTACGGGGTACAAAATAATTGATATGATATGAAATAAAATAAATGTTAAGTGTAAAAATTATGGTTTATCAAAACGATATATAACGGGCATTTTAATTGCAATATTGTTTTTTTCCTTTTAATTTGTTGTTACTAAAAAAAATAGAAAAAAAAATAAAAGAAATTTAGACATGTGATGACATTATCAATAAATTGAGAATTGCCTCATTGAAGAACCCGTTGTATCTGTCCCGACAGGAACAGAGATTGCCAGCAAAAATAAGGACTAGGATGGGGACTGGTAGTCCCCCAAAGTTAATACCGAAGATGGTGACGGAATTGAGTAACGTGGTCTTGCCTCGTCTCTGTATATTAAATACTTTTAAAACATTTTTTATAAAGAATTAGATTTAATATATTTTAGATTTAGAAATATTATTTTGATATTTCTACTTATATACACTTTTTCTAACTTGTTTTACTTTTTAGAAAAAGTATGAAGTGTCAAAAATGTTTGATCAAACAGTTACGTATGATTTTATGTTTTTGTTAACATATGAAAATTACACACTCTATAAAAGCAAAAAAAATGGAAATATGTGAGATTTAGGCTACGTTTGGTAAACTAGCTAATAAGGTAGCTAATGACTGATAAATTAGCTAGCAGCTAATAAGCCACCTGATGAACAAATCATGTTTGACAAAAACTAGCTTATAAGCTTGTTAAATAACCGAAATGTGTATCTTGAAAAATTAGTTAATTACAGTATTTCAAAATAAAATTAAAACAAATCTCTAATAATACAATATGTTAATATACAAAAAGATAGTAAAATTTTAAATAATATAATATATTAAGTAAAAGGATTTCAAATCGAT